CACCGTAACTAAGATTGCAACTGAATGTGTTACCCTGCCGCTGCTGCGCTTGTTGATTTCACAGGTTGTTTGGCAGAATCAACGAAAGAACTAGGTGGTTTATGATACACCGATGCCAGAGAGCCAATATGGCAAACAAGCTGATCGAGTAAAGATGGTTCCAACAGGTCCGTTTCTTCAGAAATGAGTGGTTTTTCAGCCAAAACAACCTAAATTTTAAGATAAAATTAAACCTCTTCTTCCCAATCAACAGTGCATAATTAAAAAAAAGTATAAGAACCATCAGCAATAAACCTCTTTCGCTGCCACTGGATCTGCACTTAACAACCTCCAGTAAATGTACCCACGGTCACGAAGATCAGGATTATCGCTATCTTGAGTGGCCAATGAAAGCACTCGTTGAACAAGCTGCTGTGTATCACTGGGTCGTTTTAAAAATAGTTTAACGACAGCAGTCAAAAGTTGAAGTTGGACCTTAAAATTGATATCTTAAGCAATCTCATTAATTTAAGAAAATGCGTTTTTAACTATAGAACATAATCTAAAAAAAAGTTAGGGAATCAAGAAAAACTATTGAAAATAAAAGATAACCTGAGTATTTTCGTCATGGAAACCTTCGACAAATGACTCCAGAAGTTCATCCGCATTATCGATTCGTTCAGCGTATTCTCCAATAATCCAAATCATAGAAGCACGAGCCTCCGGTTCATCCAATGTGTCCAAATTTTCACACAAGGTGGAGATAATGCTTTCATATTTATTAGGGTACTTACGAAATATATCCTAGAACGAAAGTGATAATGGTTCTCAGCGGTGCAGCATATCGGTGTAAAATCTTAAACAATACAAAGTAACAATCACGTTTAAAAATCAACAAGCAGTTGGTTCTAGCACTCACTTTGATAACGACAACAGCCTCTTGGACCACATAATTTACTTTAGTCTGAATAAGATCTAGTAACGTACTAACACATCTTTCTGCGCTCTGTTCAACTTTTATAGCACATCGTCCAATCGCTCTCACCGCCTTGCGAACAAAGTCAACATCTACCTCTGTGGCATACCTATAAAAATATGAGTTTTGAACCGGTCAAACTCATTTGACTAGGACCATTACAACTGAAGAACCAAATGGCTATATAACACTGGAGTAAAAGCAACAAAAAACTAACTCTTTCAATTCGCTAAGAACTTGGGATATATTGTTCTGCTGCGCCAACCTAATCATTATATCAAGTTTCTCCATCTTTACATAGATGGGATCGTTGTACTTCACAAAAAATACTTTCATTTCCTGCTTGAGAATCTCCGGCCTGAATTGAAATGTTTTATATTAAATGCCAGAAAAAACGGCAAATGTAAACCTAAATTTAGAACGTGAACTTTACACAGTTTCAAAAAAAAACTTAATTTTGAAAAGTTCATTCACATAAAGTTAAACTAAAGTTTCTCGAAAAAATTACATGACTCGTTATTGAAAACCAAAAAAAAATTTTGTAATCAAAAAACATACCTCTTTTGCACTATCAAGTTTATGTTGCGAAGAGCAACATATTGAATTTCTGGCTCAGCGGAAAGAAGAGTAACCATTGGAGGTGCCAGTTTCTTAGTGAGCTGACCTATGAACTCAGAATTATCAGGAAGCAAATCCACAAGTTTCATTAACACTTTCACTGTTGACAACACTACGGCGGCATTGGCGTGAGCCAATCGTGGACTGATACGTTCACAAATACTGAATAAATAATTTCAAGTATTAACAGCAATGTAAAAATGTAACGTGAAAACAGCATCTCTCAAAGTTACAGTTAAAAAAAGTGCTAGATTCAACTATAACTGCTGAATCAGTGAATAGAAGAACAAGCAGGAAAAAAACCAACTTCTGAGCTTCTCGTTCATCCTTAGGTTTGTATAACGATAAAGCATCAAGAATAAAAACTTGTCCCCATTCTGTACACTCATTAAGAGCAGTCAGTAACTTATTAATAGTTTGAGAATTCATTTCAATAAGTGGCCTCGTTTCGTTGATTTCTGTGAGGGCAGCAACGGCGTTCGCCACAACCTACAACATACGACTTAAGAAGTTACATTGACATATAAAGGCAAGAAAGTAATTTTAATCAGTAGAATAATTAATTTTAATTTGCATATCATGTATTCTACAGTTACAGAAGTTACCATAGGGTTTGAATCACTCAAAAGATCATTAAGCAGCTCAACAAAGCCTTGCTCTTCCACCAAAGACGCATTGATGTCATGTAGTTTGGCCACACATACAGCTGCGGTTTTCCGTACATATGGGTCCTCATCTTTCATACACTTCCTGAGCGGTTCACAAAGATATTCCGTTATCTGAAAACGATCCCAATAGTGTTATTCCTTAATCGCTGCGTATCGTATCAAAATCTTTGCTACAAAAATATTGAATATGGTTAAAAAACTCCAGTTTACAATATTTCAGGAACATTTACTGAATATACATCATACCTTATCTACTCGAATACACCCCATGGTCCGAACGGCGAGAGCACGAATCAGTGGATTTGGGTCTTCACAATCCTACAAAAAATTCCTAAATTATTTTCTCGCATAAAACATTAAAAGTTTAAAATCTAAAAACAATCACACAAAGCAATACAACAGAATTAAAATTCTACTTTGACAAACGTGTTCACTGCCATAATCGCAAGATCGGGCTGGCTTTTGGCATAATTCATTAAATACAGGTAAACCAGTTTCTTTAACTCCACATTATCGGTTTGCATACAATTAACAACATCAGGAAAGAGAGCACTAAAAAAAGCATACAGAAGTTCCTCAATAATTGTACAAAACTAAAACTTGAGAATTACCTGACATCCTTCCCAACTGTCATGCTTGCAATGACTTTTTTTACTGCTTCCCGTTTCTTTTCCTTCTTGTCAGAATTTAATTCATTCTTCAATTCAAAAATCTCCCCTAAAAGATTCATAAAAAGAGAGCTAACTAAACAACTGGAAATAATAAGCAGTCAGATAAATGAAATAAACTTTGCTAACAACCTTTCTTAGTTGTTGTAAAGTATTTCGAGTCCGTCATTGCAGCTGATGTTCCTAAACGAAAAATAAGAAGAACAAAGCTTTAAATGCAAAATCATGAAATATTTGAGAGTACACTTCGCCGGATAACCAAATTTTTATATCTTCATATTTTCCATGTCCAACAAATCTGCCTTCCAAAAAGCAAATCATTAAGAATATCTCCAAAAAGAAAAAAAGGCACAGAAAAATCAAGAAAAAAATAAACGTTGAAAAAGTTAAATGAATGTTATGACTGTACAGCTTACAAAGAAATGAACCATTCCACCATTTCACCCTTCCCTTAAAAATCTCCGCGTCCGAAACCAAAAAATGGACGAAAACGAGGAAAAAACCAAATTTTTGGGAGGCAAAATGTGCATAAATCACCAAACATTTGCAATAGACGATTTTAAAGCCGTACATAAGAAAATCGCTAATGTTGGAAATAAGCCAAACTTCGATTTTGCAACAAATTTTCTGTTCTGAAAGTCTGCCCAAATATAATAGCGGAATAATTCAATTCCTTCCTGTTTCACTTGATGAAAAAAAAAAAATGCACTTGTATGCGGGCTACACCATATAATTAAATCAGTATTCACAGGCGGTACATTCTCCGTCAATTTTTTTTTT